GTACTCGCAAAAAAATTGAGAAGCTTTGATTTCCACAAGACTTTCCATTGCACTATTTATGGGACCTATACCATGAACGGTAATCATAAAGCGTCTACTATTCGACTTGTACCGATGACAGATTTCCTGAAGCGTTGTCTACTTGACTGAAACCTCCGGGACCTAAGGTACGGCTGTAATACGTTTATCGGCTGAGTGCAGCCTTCAGTAGTAGCTATAGCCCTGTGTGTGAGCATGCTGGTCCATAAGGACCAACACGACATTAGCACGCATGTCCGCATTATCCGGATAGCCTTTCGCAGTCCACCTCAATTCCGTTCCTCTCTCATCAACACATGTGACTACTACACCCGCTTTTACTTCGTAGCAGCTACATCGGTGTAGTGATTTCGTTGGGCATCACACAGAGGGTCACGGTCATCGAACCGAAACAGAGCAGCGTATGTAAACACTAGTCTATCGATCTCTCTCAAAATGGCTGCCAAAACATCCAAATGAATGAATGCGATCCTTCTTCCAAGAAATCAAATTGAGACGAGAACCTCACGTCCGACAAGTGAGTTTCACATGCTAAACCCGTAAGAGAGGTTGCGTTTTCTCCTTGCCGGGCAAACCTTGAAAACGGGCAACCATACATTTACGTGGGTGATAATTCGCGTTGCAGATGTCCCCAATTCTGTAGGTAGTAGTTAAAAAAGTGTTTGAGATACCGGCATTCCGTGGCTAAGTGGGTCCCCCCGATTCCTTCTGCTCATCCACATACTTAAGCAGCCGCGCCCATAATTGGCGGCTGTTAAACTCCTAGGTTGACGCGAGCGCTCAGTAGATGATGCTTGTGGGCGAAGTAGCAAAATCAAAAGTGAGTTTAATATTGTGTGTTATCTCTTCTCTTCTGTGCGCTTGCATCGTCGCTTGCTATCGATTCCTTTACATCCTTACCTAGCTGACCGTCCATTTAACGAACCAATAATCATTTATGGTCACGCTGACCATCTATTTTATTAACCAATCATTGGTCATTGTCGAGTTCCCTTTCTCTCTGATGTGTGTCACAAAGTCTTGGATCGGACAATGGTCGGAGAAGTGGGTACGTCACTGACTGACAGGACAACGCTGGTGAACCCCATCACACCAAGGCCTGAAGGCTTCACTTAATGGATGACACTGGGTCTCGAACGACCTCTGGTATGTTAGAATTAACTAGGTTGTGGAGCTGATGCTGAGAAGAAGATGGCTTACGGCCGGGGATGAAAACCGAAAAGTGAGTTGTATTCAAATTGTTCCTAGCTTCGAAAACGAATGGCTAGTAGTAGCCGGTGACTCTCAGCCACCTATTTCGTGCCCTGTCTCCACCGCTTTCTGTTTTACCTATCCCTGGGTAATTACGTCTCGTAAATACCTTTCGTAAAAACTCTGCTGTGTCATATGCTGAATGAAAACGATTGCGTGGGTGGGGGACGTAACTGCGGGCGGGTCACAGTTCTGGTGAACCCCAAACACCAGGTCGTGAGTGTCAGTCACAATTAACTTGTACACGGCGGGGATCGAACCCGCACTCACCCGCGTGGAATCCCCCTTCCCAAACGACTGAGCCAATCCGATGACTTGTCGTTTCGCTAACATCCCACAATATAAACCTGCCAAAGAACAATACAACTAATGCAAATATGCAATATACACCCTGCACAAGTCGCCGCATCATCACTCGCTAACACTCTCCCTTGATGTGCGTGCGACGTGTGACCCCTACACCGCCATGCACAAACCCGTGATGAACTTGCTGTGCTTGTCTCTTGATAGTGCTTTGGTGAATCCATCCGCGACCATTTCTTCTGTCGGCTTGAACTCTAGCGCGATAACTGCACTTGCAACCTTTTCACGCAAAAAGTGAAACTTGATGTCGATGTGCTTCGTGCGCGAGTGGTACACAGGATTCTTGGCCAGCGCGATGCATCCTTGATTGTCTTGAAAAATCGTCGTCGCGTTCTTGGCACAGTAGTTCAGGTCCTTGAGCAGACCTCGAAGCCAAATTGCTTCCTGCGTCGCGCTGTACAGACTCATGTACTCTGCTTCCGTACTTGAGGTCGCGACCGTTGGTTGACGCTTCGAATTCCACGATATCACGCTTCCGTTCAGGAAGAAAACGTATCCTGTTGTCGAACGCCGCGTGTCGAGGTCGCCAGCCCAGTTTGCATCTGCAAATCCAATAAGCTCTCCCTTGTTGATGCCGCTGAACACGATGCTTAAGTCTTGAGTCGTCTTGAGATACTTGAGAATCCGCTTTGCTGCTGTCCAATGCGACTTGTCGTAGCGCTCGCAAAACTTCGCAACTTCGCCAACCGCATGCGCAATGTCCGGTCGTGTACATGTGGCGATGTACATTAAAGCGCCCACCAGCTCACGGTATGGGTACTTTGGTACAAACGCTTCCTCTTGACCCATCTTGATCAGCTTCGAATTACTGTCCGCCGGCGTGTGCATGTCCTTGCAGTTCTCAACGCCGAACTTCTCCGAAAGTCGCTTGATGTACGCCTTCTGGTTCATCTTGATCGTTCCATCTTCGCGCTTGCGATGAATCTCGATCCCGAGGCAGTACTTGAGATCTCCAAGATCTTTAATGCTGAAATCTTCCATCAATGAGTTCTTGATACTTGCGATGTGCTCCTTCGTCTTGCAGAAAATCATCAAGTCGTCCACGTAGATCACAATGATGCTGTACTCCTCTCTTGTCACTCGAACGAACACACACGGGTCCGCTGCACTGCTCTTGAATCCTTGATCAACCAAGTGCTGACTCAACTTGTTGTTCCACTGCCGCGCCGCTTGCTTCGTCCCGTATAGCGCCTTCTGCAGCAAACACTTCTTATTCGGGCTTCCTTCACCTTCAAAACCGTCAGGTTGGTCCATGTAGATCTCCTCTTCCACTTCGCCGTAGAGAAACGCTGTGTCGACATCAACGTTTTCTGCTTCCAGGTCTTCGGCTGCAGCGATCGCCAACACTGTGTTGATAGATTCCTTGCGCGCCACTGGTGCGAAGGTCTCGTTATAGTCGATGCCAGGACGCTGCGTGAACCCTTTCGCAACCAAGCGTGCCTTGAACTTGATGATCTCGCCACTTGGATCGCGTTTAATCTTGAAGACCCACTTGCAGCCTACGGTCTTCTTGCCCGGTGGCATTTTTACTAGCTTCCATGTGCTGTGTTCTTCAAGCGACTTCATCTCGCTCTTCATTGCCTGGAGCCACTGCTCCTTGTAGCCGCTCTTCATCACTTCTTGATAGCTGGACGCTTGTTCCCCATCTTCTTCAGCCGAGAAACAGTAGAAAGAGTCGAAGTCACCTTCGTAGTCGTCCAAATTGAAGTGACCGCGACGATGGCTTGGAAATTCTTGTTCGTAGCGAACCACGCCGCGCTTCTTTCCGGAACCGGTCGCACCATCCACTCTTCTTCTCCATTTCTTCCAAGTGTGCTGGATGCGCGCGTAGGAATGGTGTCGACTTCGGTCGATCACTTGGTCCGGGATGGGCTGTTCTGCGCTCGAAGTGGTGGGGTGCGTAGCTCTTCTTCGGTCACCGGCGCTGGTTTGTCTTCATCATCGGGTAGCGACGCCTCCACACTTTCCTCTTCTTCAATGACATCGAACACCCGCGTGTCTCTGCTTATCGATTTTTTCGAGACAGAATTCTCAGCGAACGTGACGCTTCTTGAAATCACGATTGATCCAACGTCCGCGTCAAGAAGCCGATACGCCTTTTGGTCCTTGGCATAGCCGAGAAAGAAACATCGCAGGCCTGAGTCGTCCAGCTTCTTCCTCTTCTCCTTCGCCACATGCGCATAGCATTGCGCACCAAACACGCGCATGTGATCGATGCGCGGAACCTTCTTGAACACCATCTCGTGTGGGCTTGAGCTCTTGTTCGACGCGTTCGGCAGAATGTTTTTGATGTCTGCCGCTGTCATTAGTGCCTCGCACCAGTACGACTTTTCGAGACCGCTTTCCTTGAGCATGCAGCGCGTCATCTCCACCAGCGTGCGGTTCATCCGCTCCGCCATCCCGTTCTGCTCTGGATTGTACGGAACCGTGAACTCTTGCTTGATGAACTTTGCCTTGCAAAAGTTGTTCATCGTTGCGTTCCGGTATTCACCGCCGTTGTCACTCCGCAACACCTTTATCTTCGTTCCAGATGCTGTCTTGATATCTTGGTAAAACCGCTTGAACGCACTCGGAACGTTGCTATTCTTTCGCAACGGATAGACCGTTACATACCTGCTCTTCATCATGATGAAGGTTACGGCGTAACTGAAACCAGACTTGGACGCTGGTGTGATAGGACCGAGAACGTCGGAGCACACCACCACGTCGGAACGCAAACTCTCACTGGTTTCAGCGTCTTCTTCACTTGTCTTGAATGACTTGCGCACTTGCTTTGACGTTGCGCATACGTCACACGCAACGTTCGTCTTCATCGTTGCGCCCTTGATCCTTCCGTCCTTGACCATGGCATTCAGCGTACCATACGACACGTGGCCCAATCTTCTATGCCACAGCTCTGCATCGTCTTCAGCCATGTGGCATTCCATACCATAGTCAGCGTTTAGATACAGTAGGAACCCCTTCTTCCTTCCTGTTGCGACGGGTTTGACGCCACGCTTCACCACGCACGCGTTGCGCGTAATCTCCACTGTCATGCCGCGCGCTGCCGTAGCCGTGAGCGAAAACAGGTTCTTGGACAAATCTTGAACGTGAAGTGTGTTCTCAAGGCGAGCATCGATCCACGCATGCCCTGTCCAGACGCGCAGCTTCACTGTCCCATGTCCAATGACATTCAGCTTCACGTCGCTCTTTGCGCTTGAAATGCTTCGCGCGTGATGCACTTCTTCGTACTCTTCGAACGCATCTCGATCCTTGCACATGTGTGCTGACGCGCCACTGTCCATAACCCAGCTGTCGCTCGCGAAACCGTCGCAAGCATTAAACGCGACATTCGACTGGTCATGCTGCTACTCCCTTGGCCCTCGACCAGAGCGACAATCTCTGGCGTAGTGTCCGACCTTGCCACAGTTGTAGCAGGTCCCTGATGGTCCCTTCGCGCGCCGTCCTTGTTGCTTCTTCGGGTACTGCTTACCCTTCCTCTTGCCTGCGTAGAGCGCCGTCGCATCTTCTACCCGTGCAGCCTCATTCTGGCGCACTTCTTCGGCGATCAACTTGCTCACGAGGTCACTGAAACTGAAGCTTGCGACGGACATGCGGAATGCCTGTACCAAGCTCTCGAAGCTTGAAGGTAGACTCCGCAACAGTACTGCGCACACGTCCTCTTCACTCGGACCGCAGTTCGCGCGCTTCATCTTCATCACGAGGTCCTCCATCTCCATGACATGACCGCTCATGCTTGAAGCTGCATACTTGAACGAGGCGAACTTTTCCTTTAGCCAAAGTCGATTCGCCATGTCATGACTGTGATGAAATCGCGCCAAATGTCCCCACGCTTCTCTTGCAGTGGCCGAGTCGATGACATGCATCATCTGCGAGTCGCTCAGATTGAGCACGATCGCGGCGTGGGCTTGCTGTTCCTTGGCCTCACTTGTTGTCTCATCGCTTGCGATCGCGCCCCACAGCCCCTTCGACATCAGGTACATCTTCATCGTGTAACTCCACAACCCATGGTTCGAGCCGTCGAAAGGCTCGACCTTGAAACCGGAGTCGTTCCTTGGGCTCATAACCAGTTAGAATTAACTAGGTTGCGGAGCTGATGCTAAGAAGAAGATGGCTTACGGCCGGGGATGAAAACCGAAAAGTGAGTTGTATTCAAATTATTCCTAGCTTCGAAAACGAATGGCTAGTAGTAGCCGGTGGCTCTCAGCCATCTATTTCGTGCCCTGTCTCCACCGCTTTCTGTTTTACCTATCACTGGGTAATTACGTCTCGTAAATATCTTTCGTAAAAACTCTGCTGTGTCGTATGCAGAATGAAAACAATTGCGTGGGTGGGGGACGTAACTGCGGGCGGGTCACAGTTCTGGAGAGTCCCAAACACCACGTCGTGAGTGTCAGTCACAATTTACTTGCACGGGGTTCAAACCCGCACTCACCCGCGTGGAATCCCCCTTCCCAAACGACAGAGCCAATCCAATGCTTTGTCGAATCGCTGACATCTCACAATATAAAATGCCAAAGAACAATACAACTAATGCAAATATGCAATATACACCCTGCACAAGTCGCCGCATCATCACTCGCTAACAAGGGTGTCACTCAAGTTTGGGGAGGGTGGACTCGCTCGAAAAAAAACCGATCTGGTTCTTGCTCATCACGTCGACAATGGTGTCGACGTGAAGGATGCAGATGTCGATGCGATCGATATTGATGATGACGGTGACGACGATGCTAGTATATTCATCATCGCCAATAACTGCCAAAGTGAGGACGATGACACCCTCACTGTTGAAGACAACGTTCTTTCAGCAGTGCACACGAAGCGCACTGCTTTTGACAAGGATGAATCAGCAGAGGAGGTTCTGCTGACTCGCTAAGCGGTTGTCCGCCTTGTTCAAGACTCAATTGCAGATGCACTATACAGACAGAAGAGAAACGCGTACAAACACGGAAGAGCAAACGCGTCTTCGTATAACAAAGGAGACCTAGTTTTACTTTCTACAGTAAATTTACCGAAACACGCAGTGACAAACGTGGTCAGCAGTAAATTTCTTCCCAGGTACATCGGTCCATTTCGTGTGTTGCGCCGAATGGGCAATGCATACACGATTTAACTGCCCCGTAAGATGCGTACGCATCCTACATTTTACGTCGGTCGTCTCCGCCCGTACTATCAGTACGAGCCCGTTTCGCGATGCGGAGAACATTTCTGCGGTCGAGAGCCGAGACCACCTTCAAGTGGTCCTGTTTTAATGAGCCAGTCCAGTCGGATAGCGAAGCAACCTGTTCACGCAGCTCAGCGATGTCTCGACGAGCTACAGCCAGCTCGTCACGAAGAGAATGAGTCGAACATTCTTTCTCAAGTTGCGCAAGCACAAAAGCGGCACGATCGTCCGAACGATAGTGCGTTAGGGAATTAAAATTATCCCTTACAAGATCCTCAGGCCCATAACGCCGAGTCCATTCGTGAGCCAGGTCATCTTGCAACTGTTCCGTTACACGATTCAGCTCTGGAGCATCAAGCTGATCCGACCCTCGAGCCGGATCAGGTGTTCCCGCCGCTACCACATCCTTTGGTGGACTCAAGCGGTGGTCAACGCTTCCTAGTGGAGCGTATTTTGAACCACCGCGATGTAAATGGCGTCCGGACGAGTCACCTCGTCCGCTGTCGTGGCCATCTACCGGCGTGGGACAGCTGGGAGCCTCGTGCCCAGCTGATTGTTGATGTATTTTGTCTCGTCGAGCAGTACAACGAGACCCACCCGCTGCGTTTGGAGAAGGGCCGTCAGAAAATGACCTACCCGAACGCGAGTACAGGAATTGCAAGGTGTCAATCCCTTCGACCATCTCGAAAGAGACGCGCGCCTCCAGTAGGGATCACTAGGGTAGGAAGGCCTCCCGAAGGGCACGAATCAAGTTTTCTAGGCAGCTTGACGCGAATCACCTTACAAGAGACAGGGTAATCCTGCCTCTCTTGAAAGGTGGTGCAACCTCTATCGCGCTTCGACTAGGTTGCTTTTCTCAAACCTGATGCGAACTGCTTCAAGTTTGGCGAACCAGGCCTCACGGCCAATGCACTCGATGATGTGGATGAGGGCATTCCATCCTTGCACCAAGGCTTTGCCATCTCGAACACGGCCACCATTGTACCACCGATGTTTGAAAAAACGCATCGGTGAAGAATTCTTCCTTAGCACGGAGTTTTCGTGCTGGAATCAGGTGAGCAAATCTTCCTGCAATCGAACAACGGAATTCAATCCTGTTCGGTGTTCATAATGGCCTATCAATCTAAATCCTTGGATGATGGCATCCAAGAAGACTCCACTTTTGGAGCGTGGCGCAGGAAATTTCGGTCCCTGGCCTCTTGATTGGTGCCAGCCTGAGCATTGGCACCAGTGTTACCCCGATCCCTCTATTTACTTCGGTCGTGGTGATGTATAGGTGCATCACCACCAGCCCCACGTGTCCTATCGTTGAACGGACTTGCGTGAGGCGGAGATTCGTCGGAATAATCACTCAATCCGAAGATCTCAGATGTGATATCGCCGCGTTGACCAGAGCCAGTCAACCTGGCTCTTGCAGTGTCCGCCACGGGTGATCCGGAGGCGTGAAAGTCGCCTTCGAGTCGGATGCATCATCCAACTCCTCAGAATAGATGAGCTCTATCTCAGACTCGTCTTAATTACGACTCGTGGTACCCGCTGCAGACGCAACGGATAAACCAGTCGCACGTGGTGACTCACCACGTGGAGGATTCACGACAGCAGGCGACGAATCGCCTACTGCTGAGGCATGAGAGGCACTTTCCGCGGCCGCACGCATGCGTGCAGCCGCCCTTGTTGCTGCTGCAGTAGCAGCTCGCGTGGTTTTCGGAACCATGCGTTGGATTGGCAAATGAATGGGATTTGACCAACAATTGCTACCTTTCCCAGAGTGATCCAACGGTGGTCAATCCGTCCCAATCAATTCTAATTCAATCAACGGGTGATTGATAATCAAGAAGAGGTGATGTAACGGGGTAGCCCGTTAAATGAAATTGACACCAGACGGTGTCAATAGGAATGTTGTCTAGCATGACAATATTCTATCAATAGTATCCGAGATTGAAGGAATATTATCCCTTTTAGATAATACTCATGCGCTGCTCCAAGATTGGTTGATATGAGACATAGTAACCATAAATTGCCATCAATCGCTGCTAGACGCGCGCAGTGAGTGGTGAGCAGGTTGACGTCATACGACGGCGTAGTTTAATATAGTTAGATAAAAACTGAAGTTACATTGATAGTTTACCTATATTAAATATAGTTCTCTTTTACCTTTACCTGACCGAGTCGTTCAAGTAGATTTGATATCTCTGCACGTACTAGTGTACGTGAAGTTTCGTGGCACCTAGACAAAGTGTGCCCCGTTACACTTGACGCATACTAGTGCCTAAATAAATTTCTTTTAAACCAAACCAAAAATTAAGCTTCTATCTTAGCCCGCACGAATGTATTTAAACGGCTAGCAGAAGAGGCTATCGAACCGGGCACCTGTAAGCAGCTTGAGAAAACGTATGCAAGTGTGATTTCATTTGACGCCGGACTAGGATCACGCAAAGACAAAATTATTCAAATGGAGCATCCTGTGTCGGAAGCAAGCGCACGCATATTGCCATGATGAAGAATTTCTTTCGATGAAGTGGAGCTTGTGAAGTGGGGTGGGAAGCAGTCACTCAGTACATCGATGCTGCCTGCGATACTGCGTTACTTCTCTTTTCCTCTGATCACGGTTTGTCAGGTTCGGTATTTGGTAAAGAGTGTGTTTTGTCGGTCAAAGCAACTACGCGACGGGGGACTCGAACCCGCAACCCCCAGATTCGAAGTCTGATACGCTATCCATTGCGCCAGCCGCGCGCTGATGTCTGGGGTAGGGTTATCATAAACTATAAATCATTGCTTTGCACACAAAAAACTGTACTGCTCTCGACCCTTTTAGCTCCAACACTTGGGTGGGTGCCATACCAAAGCATCAAAAGTCTTCGTTACAGATGAAGGCACTTTAGTCTTTGCCGATGAACCCGTGTTGGATTCACATATCAATGCAATCCTCTTTCGATTTGTAAAATTGTGTGTCTTTCCGAAGAAAAGGGTATTGTTTTGGCAAGCACTAGAATACGTAGGTACGTGCGCACACATGCAAGGGTCATCTTTTTCGCGCAATAATTCAAGCGGCATCATCAGAGAGACAAGTCAGAGAGTGTGAAATGAGGCTTGCACCTAACTCGAATTTCTCTCGTTGCAAGCCGACGAGTCAAAGTGATCCATCCGTAAGTCGCATGAAGAACATCAGCTGTAGACCTACGACACAAGGATGTGCAAGTGACGTAGGACGGAGCGCCGACAAGACTCCATCGAACTGGTCGTATCGAGGAAGGATATTATGTATTTACTAGCTACCAAGATAGCTTTGGTAAAGCATATTTGACAAGATTGTCCGATTCCGTGCGATATCAACAGGACAGGTCCCAAGCAAACGTCACTCCAGCGTAAAATGATCTAATGTTTGCTGACATGCCTGATTGCGGTCGAAAACTTTTGCTGACACACGAAGTCAGCACACACTGACACGAAAAAAGATCATCGTATTAAACGTCTCAGCCCTGGCTCAGTGCACTCACACATGGCCACCCCACGTATTATGGCATGTGTACTGAATTGCTCGATGTTCTCTAATACCTGCTTGGCCTCCGTTAGACTAGATATCAATATCTCGACCGCCCGACCTGAGGACGCCTGTTCATTTTTTCAATGGAGTATACAAAGAAATGAATTACTGACGATAAGGGTTGCGCTCGCTAAAGTATTTAGCCTAAAATTTCATACCACGAGCTGACGACAGTCATGCAACGCCTGTTCTTTTCATAAAAATTGACCAAAATTAGCAAGGGTTGGTAAGGTTCTGCGCGTATTATTGAATGACACCACATGCACCACCGCTTGTGTAGCCTCCCATTGATCCCTTTGAATTTCAATCTTGCGATTATGCTTTTTAGGAGGGGGGTGCTTAACGCGTTAGCTGTCATATCAAAAATTCCGAGATACTAGCAATCAGCGTTTACGGCATGGACTACCGGGGTATCTAATTCCTGATCACTTCTCAAACTTTGATTTCAGTGTCATCTGATCCGTGTCGTAATGGAGTCCATGTGCTACATCTGCTTGAAAGTAAGAAAAATGATAAATGACTTCTATATTGAAATGCGGGTCAGACGCGATTCGGCACCGCCGGGGGCCTCGTTAGCGGCTTGATCAATGAGAAGTGAGCTCTGCTGTATTACGCACTACAGACTCTATCACGCACTATACCCTGCAAAACACATTCTGGTACTTACAGTTACCACACAACCACCACACAATAATCACCACAACTGGCAGCTGAGGAGTTTACCAAAATAGGAGTGTCCGCTATGACAGCTCCTTTTCCAGCAATCCCATGTTGACGAAGTTGCGCATCTCCAGCGAGCCCAATATTACTGTCCGCCTTTTGGGCTACCTTTCATCGAAGATCCAGACGTTTCGCGGTATTTCAGTTAAAAGGAGTGTTAAGAATCGGTGATGCGACATGTGCGCATAGAGAAAATGTTTTGTGTCGTTGTGATTACTACCTCGCGGAAACATCAGCGACTCATTCTTCGCATTGACGCAAACATGAACTCAACGACTCCTGCACCTGGTGCAAACAACATCAACAAATTGGCCACAGCAGCACGACTTCTCACCATTTGTCTTGAGCTTTGTGCTCTGATCGCGCAGGCCGACAAAATCTGCCTGGTCTGCCTCTCGTGATTGTCGGCCGCCCTCTTTCGATAAAAGGGCATCAACCGCTAATTATGGAGACGAAGATCTGCAACAGCTCTCTTTACAAGTAAATCTTACGGTATCTGCTCTCGCCTGATCGATATCTTCAGACTGGCAACTTCGGCTCCTATTGAGGTCATTCACGTTCTGAAACCGTGCCGCTACGAAGTTTATGTTCTGTCTGAACACCCAGCTTTGCTTTCCGCATAGACTTCACTTTTCATGACTGTGAGTTTGTTTATGTTTCGATGGTCTTTCGAACGAGGGTTTTGGCAGTAGTGATCGTCCAATCTCTCCGTTGTGTTGTGCTGACATAGATACGTTTTGACACAAGATGAATGAACAAGTGCCAATCTGCATTGCACTTTCCAGTGGATTATCGCCCTAGTGACTCACTTTCCCAGTGAGTTATCACCCTAGTGACTCATTCGATTCGCGTGAAGTGTCTTGCGTTTGATATCGCGTACACGTTGAGGTTACTGTTGGAAATCAAAGAGATGTAATGAAAGGCTTCTGTATTAAAACGCCAGACACGTTTCGGCTCCCCGCCGGGGGCCTCGTCAGTAGCTTATCCAATCTAGAAGTGAGATCTTTCTGTATCGTGCACTACCAAACCAAAAATCTTCTAGAACTTAGTGTAAACACACAAATCACCCACTGTAACTACTAAACCTGGCAAGTGGGGCGTCGACCCGGAAGGGAGTGTCCGCTATGACAACTCCACTTCCAACAGTTACTAGGGAGAGCATCCTGTGTCGGAAGCAAGCGCACGCATATTGCCATGATGAAGAATTTCTTTCGATGAAGTGGAGCTTGTGAAGTGGGGTGGGAAGCAGTCACTCAGTACATCGATGCTGCCTGCGATACTGCGTTACTTCTCTTTTCCTCTGATCACGGTTTGTCAGGTTCGGTATTTGGTAAAGAGTGTGTTTTGTCGGTCAAAGCAACTACGCGACGGGGGACTCGAACCCGCAACCCCCAGATTCGAAGTCTGATACGCTATCCATTGCGCCAGCCGCGCGCTGATGTCTGGGGTAGGGTTATCATAAACTATAAATCATTGCTTTGCACACAAAAAACTGTACTGCTCTCGACCCTTTTAGCTCCAACACTTGGGTGGGTGCCATACCAAAGCATCAAAAGTCTTCGTTACAGATGAAGGCACTTTAGTCTTTGCCGATGAACCCGTGTTGGATTCACATATCAATGCAATCCTCTTTCGATTTGTAAAATTGTGTGTCTTTCCGAAGAAAAGGGTCTTGTTTTGGCAAGCACTAGAATACGTAGGTACGTGCGCACACATGCAAGGGTCATCTTTTTCGCGCAATAATTCAAGCGGCATCATCAGAGAGACAAGTCAGAGAGTGTGAAATGAGGCTTGCACCTAACTCGAATTTCTCTCGTTGCAAGCCGACGAGTCAAAGTGATCCATCCGTAAGTCGCATGAAGAACATCAGCTGTAGACCTACGACACAAGGATGTGCAAGTGACGTAGGACGGAGCGCCGACAAGACTCCATCGAACTGGTCGTATCGAGGAAGGATATTATGTATTTACTAGCTACCAAGATAGCTTTGGTAAAGCATATTTGACAAGATTGTCCGATTCCGTGCGATATCAACAGTGTTGTAAGTGCATGACGCACTGGATTCGACTCCAGAGATTCGACCCATGATAGGGTATGTCTAGAATGTTCTTTAGGGTTCTATGCATTATTATAGGTCGTACGGCAGCTAGACGTATGGATAGTTCTCACTTGTAGATTGACAAACCACTGATGAGGCCCCCGGCGGGGGCCGAAACGCGTCTGGTGCGCGGTAATATACAAGTCATTTACTTTACTTAACTCCTACTTCTTACAGGTTATGAGCCCAAGTAACGACTCCGGTTTCAAGGTCGAGCCTTTCGACGGCTCGAATTATGGGTTGTGGAGTTACAAGATGAAGATGTACCTGATGTCGAAGGGGCTGTGGGGCGCGATCGCGGGCGATGAGACAACAAGTGAGGCCAAGGAACAGCAAGCCCACGCCGCGATCGTGCTGAATCTGAGCGATTCACAGTTGATGCATGTCATCGACTCGGCCACCGCAAGAGAAGCGTGGGGACGTCTGGCGCGATTTCATCACAGTCATGACATGGCGAATCGACTTTGGCTGAAGGAAAAGTTCGCGTCGTTCAAGTATGCAGCATCAAGCATGAGCGGTCATGTGATGGAGCTGGAGGACCTCGTGATGAAGATGAAGCGCGCGAACTGCGGTCCAAGTGAAGAGGACGTGTGCGCAGTACTGTTGCGGAGTCTACCTTCAAGCTTCGAGAGCTTGGTACAGGCATTCCGCATGTCCGTCGCAAGCTTCAGTTTCAGTGACCTCGTGAGCAAGTTGATCGCCGAAGAAGTGCGCCAGAATGAGGCTGCACGGGTAGAAGATGCGACGGCGCTCTACGCAGGCAAGAGGAAGGGTAAGCAGTACCCGAAGAAGCAACAAGTACGGCGCGCGAAGGGACCATCAGGGACCTGCTACAACTGTGGCAAGGTCGGACACTACGCCAGAGATTGTCGCTCCGGTCGAGGGCCAAGGGAGCAACAGCATGACCAGTCGAATGTCGCGTTTCATGCTTGCGACGGTTTCGCGAGCAACAGCTGGGTCATGGACAGTGGCGCGTCAGCACACATGTGCAAGGATCGAGATGCGTTCGAAGAGTACGAAGAAGTGCATCATGCGCGAAGCATTTCAAGCGCAAAGAGCGACGTGAAGCTGAATGTCATCGGACATGGGACAGTGAAGCTGCGCGTCTGGACAGGACATGCGTGGATCGACGCTCGCCTTGAGAACACACTTCACGTTCAAGATTTGTCCAAGAACCTGTTTTCGCTCACGGCTGCGGCAGCGCGCGGCATGACAGTGGAGATTACGCGCAACGAGTGCGTGGTCAAGCGTGGCGGCACACCCGTCGCAACAGGAAGGAAGAAGGGGTTCCTACTGTATCTCAATGCTGACTGTGGTACGGAGTGCCACATGGCCGAAGACGATACAGAGCTATGGCATAGAAGATTGGGTCACGTGTCGTATGGTACGCTGAATGCCATGGTCAAGGACGGAAGGATCAAGGGCGCAACGATGAAGACGAACGTTGCGTGTGACGTATGCGCAACGTCAAAGCAAGTGCGCAAGTCATTCAAGACAAGTGAAGAAGACGCTGAAACCAGGGAGAGTTCGCGTTCCGACGTGGTGGTGTGCTCCGACGTTCTCGGACCTATCACGCCAGCGTCCAAGTCTGGTTTCAGTTACGCCGTAACCTTCATCATGATGAAGAGCAGGTATGTAACGGTCTATCCGTTGCGAAAGAAGAGCGACGTTGCGAGTGCGTTCAAGCGGTTTTACCAAGATGTCAAGACAGCATCTGGAACGAAGATAAAGGTGTTGCGAAGTGACAACGGCGGCGAATACCGGAACGAAACGATGAACAGCTTTTGCAAGGCAAAGTTCATTAAGCAAGAGTTCACGGTTCCGTACAATCCAGAGCAGAACGGGATGGCGGAGCGGATGAACCGCACGCTGGTGGAGATGACGCGCTGTATGCTCAAGGAAAGCGGCCTCGACAAGTCCCTATTGGTGCGAGGCACTAATGACAGCGGCAGACATCAGAAACATTCTGCCGAAAGCGTCGAACAAGAACTCAAGCCCACACGAAATGGTGTTCAAGAAGGTTCCGCGCATCGATCACATGCGCGTGTTTGGTGCGCAATGCTATGCGCATGTGGCGAAGGAGAAGAGAAAGAAGCTGGACGACTCAGGCGTGCGATGTTTCTTTCTCGGCTATGAGAAGGACCAAAAGGCGTATCGGCTTCTCAACGCGGACGATGGCTCGATCGTGATTTCAAGAAGCGTCACGTTCGCTGATCGTTCTGCCTCGAAAGCATCGAAAAGCAGAGACACGCAGGTCTTCGATGTCATTGAAGAAGATGAAAGTGTGGAGGCGTCGCTAACCGATGATGAAGACATACCAGCGCCGGTGACCGAAGAAGAGCTGCGCACCCCACCACTTCGAGCGCAGAACAGCTCTCATCACGGACCAAGTGTTCGACCAAGCGACACCATTCCTACGCGCGCATCCAGCACACCCGGAAGAAATGGAGAAGAAGAGTGGATGGTGCGACCGGTTCGAAAGAAGCGCGGCGTGGTTCGCTACGAACAAGAATTTCCAAGCCATCGTCGCGGTCGCTTCAATTTGGACGACTACGAAGGTGACTTCGACTCTTTCTACTGTTTCTCGGCTGAAGAAGATGGGGAACAAGCGTCCAGCTATCAAGAAGTGATGAAGAGCGGCTACAAGGAGCAGTGGCTACAGGCAATGAAGAGTGAGATGAAGTCGCTTGAAGAACACAGCACATGGAAGCTAATGGACATGCCACCGGGCAAGAAGGCCGTTGGCTGCAAGTGGGTCTTCAAGATTAAACGCGATCCAAGTGGCGAGATCATCAAGTTCAAGGCACGCTTGGTTGTTAAATGGTTCACGCAGCGTCCTGGTATCAACTACAACGAGACCTTTGCACCAGTGGCGCGCAAGGAATCTATCAACACAGTGTTGGCGATCGCTGCAGCTGAAGACCTGGAAGCAGAAAACGTTGATGTTGACACAGCGTTTCTCTATGGCGAAGTGGAAGAGGAGATCTACATGGACCAACCTGACGGTTTTGAAGATGAAGGAAGCCCTAATAAGAAGTGTTTGCTGCAGAAGGCGCTATACGGGACGAAGCAAGCGGCGCGGCAGTGGAACAACAAGTTGAGTCAGCACTTGGTTGATCAAGGATTCAAGAGCAGTACAGCGGACCCGTGTGTGTTCGTTCGAGTGAAAAGAGAGGAGTACAGCATCATCGTGATCTACGTGGACGACTTGATGATTTTCTGCAAGACGAAGGAGCACATCGCAAGTATCAAGAACTCATTGATGGAAGATTTCAGCAATAAAGATCTTGGAGATCTCAAGTACTGCCTCGGGATCGAGATTCATCGCAAGCGCGAAGATGGAACGATCAAGATGAACCAGAAGGCGTACATCAAGCGACTTTCGGAGAAGTTCGGCGTTGAGAACTGCAAGGACATGCACACGCCGGCGGACAGTAATTCGAAGCTGATCAAGATGGGTCAAGAGGAAGCGTTTGTACCAAAGTACCCATACCGTGAGCTGGTGGGCGCTTTAATGTACATCGCCACATGTACACGACCGGACATTGCGCATGCGGTTGGCGAAGTTGCGAAGTTTTGCGAGCGCTACGACAAGTCGCATTGGACAGCAGCAAAGCGGATTCTCAAGTATTTCAAGACGACTCAAGACTTAAGCATCGTTTTCAGCGGCATCAACAAGGGAGAGCTGATTGGATTTGCGGATGCAAACTGGGCTGGCGACCTCGACACGCGGCGTTCGACAACAGGATACGTTTTCTTCCTGAACGGAAGCGTGATATCGTGGAACTCGAAGCGTCAACCAACGGTCGCGACCTCAAGTACGGAAGCAGAGTACATGAGTCTGTACAGCGCGACGCAGGAAGCAATTTGGCTTCGAGGTCTGCTCAAGGACCTGAACTACTGTGCCAAGAACGCGACGACGATTTTTCAAGACAATCAAGGTTGCATCGCGCTGGCCAAGAATCCTGTGTACCACTCGCGCACGAAGCACATCGACATCAAGTTTCACTTTTTGCGTGAAAAGGTTGCAAGTGCAGTTATCGCGCTAGAGTTCAAGCCGACAGAAGAAATGATTGCGGATGGATTCACCAAAGCACTTCCAAGAGACAAGCACAGAAAGTTCATCACGGGTCTGTGCATGGTGGTGTAGGGCGCACACGTCGCACGCACATCAAGGAAAAGTGTTAGCGAGTGATTCTGCGGCGACTTGTGCAGGGTGTATGTTGCATATTACCACTAGTTGTACTGTTCTTTGGCAGATTCATGTCGTGGGATGTCAGCGATACGACAAAGCATCAGATTGGCTCAGTCGTTTGGAAGGGGTATTCCACGCGGGTGAGTGCGGGTTTGAATCCCGTGCAAGTTAATTGTGACTGACACTCACGACCTGGTGTTTGGGGTTCACCAGAACTGTGACCCGCCCGCAGTTACGTCCCCCACCCACGCAATCGTTTTCATTCAGCATATGACACAGCAGAGTTTTTACGAAAGGTATTTACGAGACGTAATTACCCAGTGATAGGTAAAACAGAAAGCGGTGGAGACAGGGCACGAAATAGATGGCTGAGAGTCACCGGCTACTACTAGCCATTCGTTTTCGAAGCTAGGAACAATTTGAATACAACTCACTTTTCGGTTTTCATCCCCGGCCGTAAGCCATCTTCTTCTCAGCATCAGCTCCACAACCTAGTTAATTCTAACAGGTTATGAGCCCAAGTGCTCGCTGCAGACACCTCACCAAGGACCAACTTGTGCGAGGGACACCCCGTCAGAGAAGGCGCTCGATGCACGAGTAAGGCGCCGAAGAATTCATCGACAGGGATCGTTGACGGTGCGCGTGCAGTCGAAAAGGGTTTGTGCAAGGGTGGTGACGCGAGATGGTCTGAATGCGCGAGTGCTATCGAAGGAAGAGTCAAGTCAAGTGGTGACAAGTGTATTTGTGGTCAAGAAGAAGTGGAAACTACATGCAAGGCGAACGACGACTACGAGATGTCAAGATGTGACATGGTGCTGGACGATGGGGGAGCTGGAATACCTGGAACGCTCGGTATCATCGAGGTTGGCTGGAGCGCAGGGGCAAGACTCAATCAAGATTCCCATGGTGCACGGATGCAGCAGTGAGGATTACAGGCGGGTCGATACCAAAGTGGTCTGCATCTCATGTCGTCGAGGGGGAGTGTTGTAAGTGCATGACGCACTGGATTCGACTCCAGAGATTCGACCCATGATAGGGTATGTCTAGAATGTTCTTTAGGGTTCTATGCATTATTATAGGTCGTACGGCAGCTAGACGTATGGATAGTTCTCACTTGTAGATTGACAAACCACTGATGAGGCCCCCGGCGGGGGGCCGAAACGCGTCTGGTGCGCGGTAATATACAAGTCATTTACTTTACTTAACTCCTACTTCTTACAAACAGGACAGGTCCCAAGCAAACGTCACTCCAGCGTAAAATGATCTAATGTTTGCTGACATGCCTGATTGCGGTCGAAAACTTTTGCTGACACACGAAGTCAGCACACACTGACACGAAAAAAAGATCATCGTATTAAACGTCTCAGCCCCTGGCTCAGTGCACTCACACATGGCCACCCCACGTATTATGGCATGTGTACTGAATTGCTCGATGTTCTCTAATACCCGCTTGGGCTCCGTTAGACAAGATATCAATATCTCGACCGCCCGACCTGAGGACGCCTGTTCATTTTTTCAATGGAGTATATAAAGAAATGAATCGCTGACGATAAGGGTTGCGCTCGCTAAAGTATTTAGCCTAAAATTTCATACCACGAGCTGACGACAGTCATGCAACGCCTGTTCTTTTCATAAAAATTGACCAAATTAGCAAGGGTTGGTAAGGTTCTGCGCGTATTATTGAATGACACCACATGCACCACCGCTTGTGTAGCCTCCCATTGATCCGTTTGAATTTCAATCTTGCGATTATGCTTTTAGAGGGGGGTGCTTAACGCGTTAGCTGTCATATCAAAAATTCCGAGATACTAGCAATCAGCGTTTACGGCATGGACTACCGGGGTATCTAATTCCTGATCACTTCTCAAACTTTGATTTCAGTGTCATCTGATCCGTGTCGTAATGGAGTCCATGTGCTACATCTGCTTGAAAGTAAGAAAAATGATAAATGACTTCTATATTGAAATGCGGATCAGACGCGATTCGGCACCGCCGGGGGCCTCGTTAGCGGCTTGATCAATGAGAAGTGAGCTCTGCTGTATTACGCACTACAGACTCTATCACGCACTATACCCTGCAAAATGTTAGCGAGTGATGATGCGGTGACTTGTGAAGGGTGTATATTGCATATTTGCATTAGTTGTATAGTTCTTTGGCATTTTATATTGTGGGATGTTGGCAAAACGACAAGTCACTGGATTGGCTCTGTCGTTTGGGAAGGGGGATTCCACGCGGGTGAGTGCGGGTTTGAACCCCGTGCAAGTAAATTGTGACTGACACTCACGACGTGGTGTTTGGGGTTCACCAGAACTGTGACCCGCCCGCAGTTACGTCCCCCACCCACGCAATCGTTTTCATTCTGCATATGACACAGCAGAGTTTTTACGAAAGGTATTTACGAGACGTAATTACCCAGGGATAGGTAAAACAGAAAGCGGTGGAGACAGGGCACGAAATAGGTGGCTGAGAGCCACCGGCTACTACTAGCCATTCGTTTTCGAAGCTAGGAATAATTTGAATACAACTCACTTTTCGGTTTTCATCCCCGGCCGTAAGCCAATCTTCTTATTAGCATCAGCTCCGCAACCTAGTTAATTCTAACAGGTTATGAGCCCAAAGAACGACTCCGGTTTCAAGGTCGAGCCTTTCGACGGCTCGAACTATGGGTTGTGGAGTTACACGATGAAGATGTACCTGATGTCGAAGGGGCTGTGGGGCGCGATCGCGGGCGATGAGACAACAAGTGAGGCCAAGGAACAGCAAGCCCACGCCGCGATCGTGCTGAATCTGAGCGATTCGCAGTTGATGCATGTCATCGACTCGGCCACCGCAACAGAAGCGTGGGGACATTTGGCGCGATTTCATCACAGTCATGACATGGCGAATCGACTTTGGCTAAAGGAAAAGTTCGCCTCGTTCAAGTATGCAGCTTCAAGCATGAGCGGTCATGTCATGGAGCTGGAGGACCTCGTGATGAAGATGAAGCGCGCGAACTGCGGTCCAAGTGAAGAGGACGTGTGCGCAGTACTGTTGCGGAGTCTACCTTCAAGCTTCGAGAGCTTGGTACAGGCATTCCGCATGTCCGTCGCAAGCTTCAGTTTCAGTGACCTCGTGAGCAAGTTGATCGCCGAAGAAGTGCGCCAGAATGAGGCTGCACGGGTAGAAGATGCGACGGCGCTCTACGCAGGCAAGAGGAAGGGTAAGCAGTACCCGAAGAAGCAACAAGTACGGCGCGCGAAGGGACCATCAGGGACCTGCTACAACTGTGGCAAGGTCGGACACTACGCAAGAGATTGTCGCTCCGGTCGAGGACCAAGGGAGCACCAGCATGACCAGTCAAACGTCGCGTTTCATGCTTGCGAAGGTTTAGCGAGCGACAGCTGGGTCATGGACAGTGGCGCGTCAGCACACATGTGCAAGGATCGAGATGCGTTCGAAGAGTACGAAGAAGTGCATCATGCGCGCAGTATTTCAAGCGCAAAGAGCGACGTGAAGCTGAATGTCATTGGACATGGGACAGTGAAGCTGCGCGTCTGGACAGGGCATGCGTGGATCGATGCTCGCCTTGAGAACACACTTCACGTTCAAGATTTGTCCAAGAACCTGTTTTCGCTCACGGCTACGGCAGCGCGCGGCATGACAGTGGAGATTACGCGCAACGCGTGCGTGGTGAAGCGTGGCGTCAAACCCGTCGCAACAGGAAGGAAGAAGGGGTTCCTACTGTATCTAAACGCTGACTATGGTACGGAGTGCCACATGGCCGAAGACGATACAGAGCTGTGGCATAGAAGACTGGGCCACGTGTCGTATGGTACGCTGAATGCCATGGTCAAGGACGGAAGGATAAAGGGCGCAACGATGAAGACGAACGTTGCGTGTGACGTATGCGCAACGTCAAAGCAAGTGCGCAAGTCATTCAAGACAAGTGAAGAAGATGCTGAAACTAGGGAGAGTTCGCGTTCCGACGTGGCGGTGTGCTCCGACGTTCTCGGACCTATCACGCCAGCGTCCAAGTCTGGTTTCAGTTACGCCGTAACCTTCATCATGATGAAGAGCAGGTATGTAACGGTCTATCCGTTGCGAAAGACGAGCGACGTTGCGAGTGCGTTCAAGCGGTTTTACCAAGATGTCAAGACAGCATCTGGAACGAAGATAAAGGTGTTGCGAAGTGACAACGGCGGCGAATACCGGAACGAAACGATGAACAGCTTTTGCAAGGCAAAGTTCATTAAGCAAGAGTTCACGGTTCCGTACAATCCAGAGCAGAACGGGATGGCGGAGCGGATGAACCGCACGCTGGTGGAGATGACGCGCTGTATGCTCAAGGAAAGCGGCCTCGACAAGTCCTATTGGTGCGAGGCACTAATGACAGCGGCAGACATCAGAAACATTCTGCCGAACGCGTCGAACAAGAACTCAAGCCCACACGAGATGGTGTTCAAGAAGATTCCGCGCATCGATCACATGCGCGTGTTTGGTGCGCAATGCTATGCGCATGTGGCGAAGGAGAAGAGAAAGAAGCTGGACGACTCAGGCGTGCGATGTTTCTTTCTCGGCTATGCGAAGGACCAAAAGGCGCATCGGCTTCTCAACGCGGACGATGGCTCAATCGTGATTTCAAGAAGCGTCACGTTCGCTGAGCATTCTGTCTCGAAAGCATCGAAAAGCAGAGACACGCGGGTCTTCGATGTCATTGAAGAAGAGGAAAGTGTGGAGACGTCGCTACCCGATGATGAAGACATACCAGCGCCGGTGACCGAAGAAGAGCTGCGCACCCCACCACTTCGAGCGCAGAACAGCTCTCATCCCGGACCAAGTGATCGACCAAGCGACACCATTCCTACGCGCGCATCCAGCACACCCGGAAGAAATGGAGAAGAAGAGTGGATGGTGCGACCGGTTCGGAAGAAGCGCGGCGTGGTTCACTACGATCAAGAATTTCCAAGCCATTGTCG